ATTATTATTATTATTATTATTCATCATATTATTATCATCATCATCATCATTATATTATCATCATATTATTATCATTATCATTTCTATGTTTATTATTATTATTATTATCATTGTTATTATTATCATTATCTTCATTATTATTACTATTATTATTATTTTATTATTCATTATCATTAGTATTATTGCTATTGCTATTAATATCATTATCATTATTGTTATACTATTATCCTCATTATTGTTATTATTATCATATCATCATTTAGTATTATTATTGTTATTGTTGTTATCATTGTTGTTATCATTAGTATCCTTATCATCATCATTACTTTATATTGTTTATCATTGTTATTGTTATTATTATCATTATCCTTTTTGTTCTAGTTGTAATCATTACCATTATCATCCTCATTTATATCATTATCATTATCATCATTATTGTTATTATTATTTCATTATCATTAATGATATTATAATCCTCATCAACATTATCTTTAACATTAGTACCAGAAGTAGTAATAATAATACTAGCAGCAGCAGTTGCATTAGTGGTAGTAGTATGATAGTTAGGATTATGTTGCTATCATTACTGATAGTAACAATATATATATATATATATATATATATATATATATATATATATATATATATATATATTATATATATATATATAACATAAACCCTTTTACATTCCAGTCTCTCTCCCATTTCCTCAAGGAGTTAATCTTTATCCCTCTTTGTTCATTTCCCATATTGTCTCCTGTGAAGGCGTACTAGAGTCCTTTTGTACCTAAGATCCATGTAATGTCACTACGGCACTGGAGATAAAAGAAAAGAACCCTCACGTTTCCCCTTTAAATACAGCTCGTCATTCTTTTTAAACAAGGATAAATGTAATTAAACCTCAGTAGCTGCAGGCCAATACGAAATGCTTATATCACAGAAACCAATGTACTAAGATCCTTCATGTGAGGAGACAAGAAAATACAAAGAAACAAGTCATGGTTCCGAAGACGAGGAACTCANTACACATACATATAAATATGCACACACACACACACACACACCACCACACACACCACACACAACACACACACAACACACACACACACACACACACACACACACAACACACACACACACATATGAACACACACATATGAACACACACATATGAACACATACGCATACACATATATTCGTACATTATACATACACCATATACATGCACATATACATGCACATATACATACATATAAATACACATACATGCACACATATACATAACCAATGCAAACACACATCGCCCACTCAGACGTATACAGACAACATAACACAGCCTATGTATATAATACACATACACATGCATATGCACAGATAAATACATAAACATACACACAGACACTAATGAATATAGCCTAAATATACATATACATACATAGTTTACTCATACATGTTCCCGATTGCACTCATAAATACAATAAATGTACATAATCTACACACACATACACATACACATATACATACATGAAAACACACACACATACGCACATAAATACACACACATAAATACACACACACATACACACACACATACACACACACATACACACATACACACACACACCACACGCACATACACACACAACATGCATACACACACATACATAACATACACACACACACATACATACACTACCACACACACAATTACATACATACATACACACACACACACACACACAACACACACACATCACAACACACACACATTACACACACACATACACACATACATACAGACACCATACATACACATACATACAACATACATACATTCACAATACACATACACACACACACACACACACACACACACACACACACAGCAGCAAATATACACACATACACCACACATGCATATACACACACATGCACACACGTGCTTATACACACGCATACAAGCATACATACACACACATACACGCATACACACTAAAATACACACACATGCACGCATACACACATACATGCATGCACACACATACATGCATACACACACACCATACACGCAACACACACAATACACGCTACCACACACATACACGCATAAACACACACATACACAACACACCGTACACGCATACACACACACATACATGCCATACACACAACATACACGCATACACACACACATACATGCATACACACACACATACACGCATACACACACACATACACGCATACAACACACCATACAACTACACACAATACACACACATACACAGCATACACACGCATTACACGCATACACACACATACACGCATACACACATACCACGCATACACACAACACGCATTACACACATTACACGCATACACAGCACAAACACATACACACACACATACACACGCACACACATACACACACACACATGCACACACACACATACACACACACACAACATGAACACACACACATACTACACACACGACACAACACACACACACACACCACACCACACACACACACGAACGCACTACGCACACGCAACGCACACGCACACGCACACGCACACCGCACACGCACACGCACACACGCACACACATACACACACACACATACACACACACACATACACACCACACACATACACACAACACACAGCACACACACACACACACACACCACACACACACACACACACAACACACCACACACACAACATACAACACACACACACATACACACATACACACACCACACACACACACACCAACACACAACATACATACATTACATACACACACATGCAATCTACACACACACATGGTATACACACAGCACACAACAAACATCCACACAAACAAACATACACACATACATACATACACACATAAATTCACACACATACATACACATACAACATAACATTACACACACTCACATTACATATATTCACACACATAATACACATAAAACATACACATACAGAGACAGACAGACAGACAGACAGACAGACAGACACATATGTACATACACATACACATAAAATATACACATACACACATACATACACATAACACACAACACACACACACACACCAGAATATACGTATATGTCATGCATGATGACATACATACATATAACATACACACCATACACATACACACACACCGAGAAATATACGTATATGTCATACATAATGATGCATACATTACACATACACATAAACATACACATACACACATACATATACACATACAATACACACATACACACACAGAGAATTTACACATACACACACATACACACACGCAGAGAAATATACACATACACACATACATACATACACATACACACATACATACATACACATACACACATACATACATACACATACATACATACACACAACAATATACATACACACAAAATATACGTATATGTATACATGATGACCATACACATACACATACAGCAGATACATCATACACACACAGAGAAATATACACATACACACACATACATACATACACATACATACATACATGCATACACATAAACACATACATACATACATACACACACAGAATATACGTATATGTATACATGATGACATACAGCATACACACACACATACACACATACACACATATCAACATACACATATATACACACACACACACACACACCACACACACACACACACCACAACACACACCACACACACACACACACACACACACACACACACAGAAATATACGTATATGTATACATGATGTATGTTGGTGTCTTTCAATTAAACAGATAGACAGTAAATAGATAAGTCTGCCCTCTTATTCGTTTTCTTTTGGTTATTTTTGTTATTTACATATATATCTGTAGATTACGTTTACATCCATATGATTCAGAGCACACATAACAGAAATGTTATACACATACGTACATGCACGTACATACATACAGACAGATAGGGATACACGTATGGAAATACAGTCTCCCCCCTCTATCTATCTATCTATCTCTCTATTTATCTATCCATACTAGTCTACCCTTTCGTTCTCTCTCTCTCTCTCTCTCTCTCTCTCTCTCTCTTCTTTCTCTCTCTCTCTCTCTCTCTCTCTCTCTCTCTCTCTCCTCTCTCTCTCTCTCTCTCTCTCTCTCTCTCTCTCTCTTCCTCTCTCTTCTCTCTCTCTCTTCTCTCTCTCTCTCTCTCTCTCTCACTCTCTCTCACTCTCCACTCTCACTCTCACTCTCACTCTCACTCTCACTCTCACTCTCACTCTCACTCCACTCCCTCTCACTCTCACTCTCACTCTCCTCTCCCTCTCTCCCCTCTCTCCTCTCCTCTCCCTCTCCCTCCCTCTCCCCCCTCTCCTTCCCTCCATCCCTCCCCTCCGCCATCGTGCCCTCTCTCTCCGCCCTCCCTCCCTCCCTCCCTCCCTTCCTCTATCCTATCTTATCCTATTCGCAGGATACGGTGGATCTCTTTCTCCTCCCCTTTTCCTTCCTCCATCCATCCAACCATCTCTCCCTTCCTCTCTTCGTTCTCCCGTCCGTCCCTCCCTTCTCTCCCTTCCCTCCCCCTTCTCCCTCCTTCAATCCTCTCCCTCCTTCCCTCCTCTCCCCTCTCTCCCCCCTCCTCCCCCCCCTTCCTCCCTCCTTCCCCCCCTCTCCCCTCCTTCCCCCTCTCCCTCCTCCCCCCCCCCTCTCCCTCCTTCCCCCCTCTCCCTCCTTCCCCCTCTCTCCCTCCTCCCCCCCCTCTCCTCTCTCTCCCCTCTATCTCTCTCTCCTCTCCCTCCTTCCCCCCCTCTCCCTCCTCCCCCCCCTCTCCCTCCTTCCCCCCTCTCCCTCCTTCCCCCTCTCCCTCCTTCTCCTCCTTCCCTCCCTCTCCCTCCTTCCCCCCTCCTTCTCCTTCTCCCTCCTCCCCCCTCTCCCTCTCTCCCTCCCTCTCCCTCTTATCCTATCCTATCCTAACGTATCCTATTCGCAGGAAATGGATGTTTTTCGTCCTCTCGCTTCTGGTTCTCGGGCTCGTGGGCGGGGATGTGGGCGTGGTCGAGGAAGTGGGGGAGGAGTCAGAGGCTGAGGATGGTAAGTCAGTTTAATTAATGAATTTTGTCTATTTTCCTTTTTTTTCTCTTTTTTTTCATTCTGTGTGTGTGTGTGTATTTGTATGTAGGTCTGTGTTTGTGTTTATGTAGGCTTATGTGTATCTGTGTTGGCCTGTGTATGTTTGTATTTATGTAGGCCTGTGTATGTGTTTATTTAAATGTAGGGTGTGTATGTGTTTATTATATGTAGGCCTGTGTATGTGTTATTTAAGTAGGCCTATGTGTGTATATGTATATATGTAGGTCTACGTGTATCTATGTAGGCCTGTATATGTGTGTATTTATGTAGGCTATGTATGTATTTTATTTGGCCTGTGTACGTATATATGTAGGTTCTATGTGTATCTATGTAGGCTGTGTTGTGTATTTATGTAGGCCTATGTATTTTTGTGGGCCTGTGTATGTATTTATGTAGGTCTATGTATATATTTACGTAGGCCTATGTATGTATTTATATCGGCTAATGTATGTATGTATTTATGTAGGCTTATGTAAGGGTTTATGTAGACCTATGTATTTATGTATGCATATATGTAGGTCTATGCGCTTGGCCATTTATTTCTGTATGTCGCTAATCTCGCCCCCTACCAACCCCCACCCTCTCCCCCTGCAACCCCCCCTACCCCCTACCACCCCCTTCCCACCCACACAGCCTCCCTCTACCCATCCCCTACCACCCCCTCCCTGCTAACCCTCTCCCTACCCACACACCCTTCCCCCTTCCCCTACAACCCTCCCCATCCCCTCTCCCCCCACCCCTCCCCTAACCAATCCCCTCCCCCTACCAACCCCACCCTCTCCCCTGCTAACCCCTTCCCCCTTCCCCACACCCCTCCCCATCCCCTCTCCCCCACCCTCCCTACCAATCCCTCCCCCATCCCTCTCCCCACCCCTCCCCTACCAATCCCCTCCCCTACCAACCCCCACCCTCTCCCTGCTAACCCCCTTCCCCTTCCCCTACCAACCCTCCCCCTCCCCTCTCCCCCTACCAATCCCCTTCCCCTACCTTCCACCCCCCTCCCCAACACACCCTTCCCCCTCCTCCATCTGCCTCTCCCCTACATTCCCCTCCCCATCCCCTTCCCCTTCCCTCCTCCCCACCCACCATCCCCTCTCACCACCCCCTCCCCTTACCCCTACCCCCATCTCCTCCTTCTTCCCCCCCCCTACCACCCCTACCAATCCCCACCATTTCCTCCTTTCCTCTAACCCCCCCCCATCCCCTGCAGACGCTCTGGGCTCCCTCCTCGCGGCCTCGCGACGGAGTGGCAGGAGGAGGGCCAGGCCGGGGAGCTGCGAAGGGCGGCGCGGGCGGCGAGGCGGCGGCCCAGGGACCTCTCCGTGCTCCTGTACCCGCTGGCCTCCACGGCGTCGCTGGCAGGGCAGGTAGGCGGGGTTGGTGTAGGTTGTGGGTCGGGGTTGTGGGTTGTGGATCGTTCGGGTTGTGGTTTGTGGATCGTTCGGTTGTGGGGTTTGTGGGTCGTTCGGGTTGTGGGTTGTGGGTCGTTCGGGTTGTGGGTTGTGGGTTTCGGATCGTTCGGAAGTTGTGGGTTGTGGATCGTTCGGGTTGTGGGTTGTGGATCGTTCGGGTTGTGGTTGGGGTTGTGGGGGGTTGTGTGCGGTTGTGGATCGTTCGGAGTTGTGGGTTGTGGATTTGGGGTTCGTTCGGCGTTGTGGGTTGTGGGTCGTTCGGGGGTTGTGGTTGTGGATCGTTCGTTGTGGGTTGTGGATCGTTCGGGATCGTTGGGTTTTGTGGGTTGTGGATCGTTCGGTTGGTTGGGATTTCGGGGTTGTGGGTTGTGGATCGTTCGGGTTGTGGGTTGTGGGTCGTTGGGTTGTGGATCGTTCGGGTTGTGGGTTGTGGATCGTTCGGGTGTGGGTTGTGGATCGTTCGGGTTGGGGTTGTGGATCGTCGGGGGTTGTGGGTTTTGTGGATCGGGTCGGTTGTAGGTTTGTGGATCGGGTTGGGTTGTGGATCGTTGTGGATCGTTGGGTTGTGGTTGTGGATCGTTCGGGTTGGTGGGTTGTGATCGTCCGGGTTGTAGGTTGTAAAATCGTTCGGTTGTAGGTTAAATCGTTTCGGGTTGTAGTTGTAAATCGTTCCGGGTTGTAGGTTGTAAATCGTTCGGGTTGTAGGTTGTGACGTCCGGGTTGTAGGTTGTGAATCGTCCGGGTTGTTGTAGGTAATCGTCCGGGTTGTAGGTTGTGAATCGTTCGGGTTGTAGGTTGTGAATCGTTCGGGTTGTAGGTTGTGAATCGTTCGGGTTGTAGGTTGTAAATCGCTCGGGTTGTAGGTTGTAAATCGTACGGGTTGTAGGTTGTTAAGCTTGTAGGCTGTTCCTGGATGTGTGGGAAGGGTATGTTGTTCAGGTTGTAGGTTGTTTCAAGTTGTGGGAAGTGCGTGTTTTTTTGGGTCGTGGTAAGGGCAGGTTATAAGTGTTTCAGGTTGTAGGTTCCAGGTCGTGGGAAGTTCGTGATTTGGGTCGTCGGAACAGCAGATTGTGAGTTGCTCAGGTTGTAGGTTCCAAGTCGTGGGAAGAGTAGGTTATAAGTTGTTCAGGTTGTAGATTGTTCCAGGTTCGTGGGAGGTCTTCGGGTTCGTTCCAGCTGGGTGGTTCGAGGTCATTTTGAAGGGAAGAGCAGGTTGTAAATAATGTTGTAGGTTGTCCCAAGCCGCTGTTGTTAAAGGTTGGCGTGAGAGAGGCAAGTCAAGTCTTCGGTTGTTCCAGTTGTAGAGTGCGAATCTCCGGTTGTTCCAGTTGTAGAGTACGAATCTCCGGTTGTTCCAGTTGTAGAGTACGAATCTCCGGTTGTTCCAGTTGTAGAGTCTCGCGGTTGTTCCAGTTGTAGAGCACGAATCTCCGGTTGTTCCAGTTGTAGAGCGAATCTCCGGTTTTCCAGTTGTAGAGTACGAATCTCCGGTTGTTCCAGTTGTAGAGTGCGAAGTTCGAATTCCGGTTGTTCCAGTTGTAGAGTACGAATCTCCGGTTGTTCCAGTTGTAGAGTACGAATCTCCGGTTGTTCCAGTTGTAGAGTGCGAGTCTCCGGTTGTTCCAGTTGTAGAGTACGAATCTCCGGTTGTTCCAGTTGTAGAGTGCGAGTCTCCGGTTGTTTCCAGTTGTAGAGTCTCCGGTTGTTCCAGTTGTAGAGTACGAATCTCCGGTTGTTCAGTTGTAGAGTGCGAATCTCCGGTTGTTCCAGTTGTAGAGTACGAATCTCCGGTGTTCCAGTTGTGAGTTAATCCGGTTGTTCCAGTTGTAGAGTACGAATCTCCGGTTGTTTCCAGTTGTAGAGTGCGAATCTCCGGTTGTTCCGTTGTAGAGTGCGAGTCTCCGGTTGTTCCAGTTGTAGAGTGCGAGTCTCCGGTTGTTCCAGCTGTAGAGTGCGAATCTCCGGTTGTTCCAGTTGTAGAGTGCGAATCTCCGGTTGTTCCAGTTGTAGCGTGCGAGTCTCCGGTTGTTCCTTGTAGAGTGCGAATCTCCGGTTGTTCCAGTGTAGAGTGCGAGTCTCCGGTTGTTCCAGTTGTAGAGTGCGAGTCTCCGGTTGTTCCAGTTGTAGAGTCGAATCTCCGGTTGTTCCAGTTGTAGAGTCGAGTCTCCGGTTTTCCAGTTGTAGAGTGCGAGTCTCCGGTTGTTCCAGTTGTAGAGTACGAATCTCGGTTGTTCCAGTTGTAGAGTACGAGTCTCCGGTTGTTCCAGTTGTAAGTCGAATCCGGTTGTTCCAGTTGTAGAGTGCGAATCTCCGTTGTTCCGTTGTAGAGTGCGAATCTCCGGTTGTTCCAGTTGTAGAGCGAGTCTCCGTTGTTCCAGTTGTAGAGTGCGAATCTCCGGTTGTTCCAGTTGTAGAGTACGAGTCTCCGGTTGTTCCAGTTGTAGAGTACGAATCTCCGGTTGTTCCAGTTGTAGAGTGCGAATCTCCGGTTGTTCCAGTTGTAGAGTGCGAGTCTCCGGTTGTTCCAGTTGTAGAGTGCGAATCTCCGGTTGTTCCAGTTGTAGAGTGTCCGGTTGTTCCAGTTGTAGAGTGCGAATCTCCGGTTGTTCCAGTTGTAGCGAATCTCCGGTTGTTCCAGAATGCGATCTCGGTTGTTCCAGTTGTAGCGTGCGAATCTCCGGTTGTTCCAGTTGTAGAGTACGAATCTCCGGTTGTTCCAGTTGTAGAGTACGAATCTCCGGTTGTTCCAGTTGTAGCGGTGCGAAACAGCTTTCCTTACAGGGGGGGGGATGTGCAGGAACCATTGGGGTAAATCTACAGGTGTTTTGTGCCATGTTTCGGCCAAGCATCTCTGAGTGTCCTGTACTACAGCCTTTCAGACCACATAGCATGAGGTGTGGAGAACTACGTAACTACATGTTGTCACCGGATGTCTTGGAAGATGTGCTGATGTTGTATCCTAAATTTGGAATGTGGGTATCGCATTGACCACATATCACATGTTACAATGCCCTTTTCCACGCCCAAGCCCTACGCCGGCCTGGTAGATGAGTAGATGAGTAGATAAATTACTGATTGTTCTTTTCTTTTAAATTATGTAGATCGTAAAAATTTATATGGTTGTTCTTTTCTTTTAGATGGTATATTATAGATCGTAATAATGTTATGATCTAGATTTCCACTGTAATACTATTATATAATGCTTTGACTATGCATCAAGTGTACCACAGCTTGCCCATGCTTGTGTAGTTAGGTAAATAAAGGACTAAACTAAACTAAAAACGCTACAAAGAATAAGTTGAAATTGATGTATAAACTTTGTTATCAGTAATTTTGGAAACAGCATTGTAGTATTTGAATAAAGTAAGTCATATACATTATATAAAGTATAAAGGCTATAGATTGAATAATAGAATACTGTATATAGATTATATAAAGTAGATTATATCTAA